CACACACACACACACACACACACACACACACACACACACACACACACCTGCAGATCGACCTCCACCTGTGTGTGTGTGTCTCAGGTGCTGGGCTGGATCTCAGAGGGGGAGGTGATGCTGTCGTCCTGCATGTTGAACTCCAGCTGTCTGTCTGAAGCTGAGCAGCTGCAGAGGGAACACGAGCGCCTCCAGCAGGCCATCGAGGTAACTGCACACAAACGACGACATTCTTCAAACAGTCGCCATAGCTGCACCCTTTAACTCAGCCAGAAGCTGTAGAAACCCTCATTATCGCCAGGTTTTCATCTTTCCGACAGTCCTCGAACACATCATGTGTGACGAACGCTTCCATCAAAAAAAGCTGCGAAAACAAAGCTTTAAAATGTTGATATTTTATCGACAACATCATCTCATTATAAATGTCTCCTCTAATAAAGAGTTCACTTCAACTAGATTGTGTAAAAACATTAAGCTGTGAAACTATGAAGTCATGATTGATTCATCTGAGACCAACAGTCATGTGACAACAAATCAGAGACACTCTGACTGAAAGCATGGCTGCATGTCAACAGAAGTATTAGCTTTCATTATGTATGATATTGTCTTTTTGGGAACAAAAGACTGTAATAGATAAAGACTGGATTGTCTCTGCAGGCTCTGCTCCACGCTGACTCCCTGCAGAGGACCCACCAGGTGGCTCTGGCTCTGCAGCAGAGAGCCGAGCTGCTGGTCAGGTGAGTCACGGTTTACATCATGCATTAGCATTAGCATTAGCATCACAAGCTGTATTTATATCCACATACATGGAGAGTATTTACTATAGCATCTGTGTTTTTAGATTGAGTCATATTCCTGCAGTTTAAAATGAGATTACGCCGCGTAATAAAACAGATTTTCGTCGTTTAGTCTGACGTCGCTGACACCATATTTTGTAAGTTGAGCTATTGTTGGTATTTTTGTGAATTTTAACTAGCTGGATATGAATATTTACTTTTAATTTCCTGGACAAATCCAATGTTTTAGCGACAGCAGGTCAGGTTGTAACGTAGTAGAGTCATTTTCTCATAGACGTCTACACAACCAGTGGAGTTTTAAGCTAGCGGTTTCCCCCTTGCTTCCAGTCGTTATGCTAAGCTAAGGTAACCCCCCCCTCAGGTCAGGTCACTATGACCCAGATGCAGTGAGGTCTTGTGCCCAGACGGTGGCGCTGCACTGGCAGACTCTGATGCTGAGGATCGAGGACCGACTCAAACTGGTCAACGCCTCAGCAGCCTTCTACAGGACGTCCCAGCAGGTATCACTCGTCTATCTACCCGTCTGTCTGTCTGTGGCATACCTGTCTGTCTGTACTACCCGTCTGTCTACCCCCTCCAGGTGTGCGGGGTGCTGGAGAGTCTGGAGCAGGAGTACCGCCGGGAGGAGGACTGGTGTGCAGGAGGAGAGAGGCAGCCGGAGCTCCTCCTGCCGCTCGTCAGCAAACACATGGAGCAGAAGGAGGCGTTCCTGAAGGTGACAGGGGGGGGCCTAGCAACAGCAACTAAGGGGGAAGGGGGCGGGACTTTAAAATCGTCTTTAATTGCTTTAAATGTTGTCAAATAATAAAGTGTTTAGTATTCTTGTGAGGTGTTTTAAAAGTGACGAACTAAAAGTTTAATAATCGTGTTTGATCATCTTTAATAATCGTGTTTGATCTTTTTTAATAATCGTGTTTGATCTTTTTTAATAATCGTGTTTGATCTTCTTTAATAATCGTGTTTGATCTTTTTTAATAATCGTGTTTGATCTTTTTTAATAATCGTGTTTGATCTTTCAGGCCTGCACTCTGGCGAGAAGGAACGCTGAAGTCTTCCTCAAGTACATCCACCGTAACAGCGTCACCATGGCGAACATCTCGGGCCACAGCATGTCGGGGGTCACCGAGGTCACGGGTCACTCCAGGGTCCCAGAGCAGCAGGTCAAAGGTGAAACTAGAGAAGTCCAGAGGACCCAGTGAAGAGCCCTGAGGGACGCCACGGTTAATTAGTTTGGTTATAAACAGTAAAAGGTGTGTGTGTGTGCAGGTATCCTCAGTGAGCTCCTCCAGAGGGAGAACCGAGTCCTCCACTTCTGGACTCTGAAGAAGCGTAGACTGGATCAGTGCCAGCAGTACCTGATGTTCCAGAGCCACGCCCACCAGGTACACGGCTGACGTTAAATTACTTAGTTCATTTATTTAGTTTGGAGGATTATTAATTAATTAAAAGTAGCAAAACCACTCTTTAAAAATACTGTAAGAGTATTTCTAAGTCTTCAATTTAACATTTGTTTTGCTAAAGTAACAGTTTTATCAGTGAAATGTACTTAAAGGATCAAACGTAAAAGTACTTGTTGGGCAGAGTGTTGTATTGTAACGTGTGTTTTCTTTGTTGCAGGCTCTGGATTGGCTGCAGCAGTCAGGTGACCACTACCTGATAACGCACACGACGCCGGGGTCAACCGTGGTCGAGACGCAAGAACTGCTGAATCAACACCGAGAGTTCTGTGTATCCGCCAAGGTGACAACACATGTACAAATACACACATATATACATATTTATATATAGATATGTATCTCACCTGTCCTCTCTGCCTCTCAGCACACGCAGGAAAAGGTTCACCTCCTCATCCAATTGGCTGAGAGCATGCTGGCTAAAGGACACGCCCACCGGGCTGAGCTCCGCCGCTGCGTGTCCGCGGTGGACAAACGGTACCGAGACTTCACCGTCCGGATGACTCAGTACCGCCACCTGCTGGAGGCGGCACTGGGAGGCTGCTCACAGGTACTAGTACACAGTAGTATTTAGGAGGTTATGGTATTTTGTGTGTCGGCTCTATTGAGTACAGCAAAAGTACCAGAAGTTTTTTTGTATTTAGAGGCTATTAAGTATAGCAGTAGTACCTGTAGTATTTTGTGTGTAAAGCTCATTAAGTACAGCAGTAGTACTACTAGTATTTAGTGTGTAGAACTGTGTTTTTAAACTACGGTGTCCCTGTCAGGACAATAAGGACTTGGAGTTGGAGCTGATCCCAAACAGTCTGTCGGACTCAGACCCCGAGGTGAACCTGTCCGACCCCAGTCACCAGGTCAGCGACGAGAAGAGGCGCTCTGCCCGCAAGAAAGAGTGAGTACTACTAGTACTAGTATACTACTAACGTATTAAAGTGTTACCACTGCACATGCTGTGATGACGTGTGTTTTTGTGTATCTCAGGTACATCATGGCTGAGCTGCTTCAAACTGAGAGAGTCTACGTCAGAGATCTGCAGGAGTGTATTGAGGTACACACTTATAGTACTGCAGTACATCACAGTACCACAGCTAGTAGCATACAAGTACTGAAGTACAACATAGTACTTTCCTCATGGTAATACTTTTTCCTTGCGCAGACGTACCTGTGGGAGATGACGAGCGGCTCAGAGGACGTCCCACCTGGTCTCAGCAACAAGGACGACATCGTGTTCGGAAACATCCAGGACATCTACGAGTTCCACAACAGGTACTACTGCAAAATATACTACCAAATATACTGCATTAGTACACAGACAGGACATTATTTTACATGATACATGATATTTACTACACCACTGCAATCTACTGTAGTACTGCAGAAAGTTCTCCAGTACTACACAACCATTTGTTGCCCAATGTACTACAGTACCACTGCAGTATATGTATTTGTACTCTGTGTTTTGTAGTATTTTCCTGAAGGAGCTGGAAAACTATGAACAGCTTCCCGAGGATGTCGGACACTGTTTCGTTACCTGGGTAACCACTTTGTTGTCTTTTAAAAAACAAATAAACAACAGATTAAAATACGGTCAATAGTACTAGTATTCAGTAAATAGTACTAGTATTCAGTAAACATTTTGTGTTCCAGGCGGATAAGTTCCACATGTACGTGACGTACTGCAGAAACAAACCAGACTCCAGTTTACTGATCCAGCAGCAAGGAGCCGGATTCTTTGAGGTCTGTTTACAACTTGTGTTTACCATCGAAACAACAATAATAACAACAACAACGTGTGTTTACCATCGAAACAACAATAATAACAACAACAATGTGTGTTTACCATTGAAACAACAATAATAACGTGTGTTTACCATCGAAAAAACAACAATAATAACAACAACTTGTGTTTACCATCGAAACAACAACGACAACTTCTGTCTATCATCTTAACAATAATAACAACAACAACACAGACAGTAATATATAATACATAATATACTGTTTTCTTGTAGAAGATTTTCTTACAAATATGTAACTTTCATATCTGAAATAGCAATTTGGTACAAACAGGAACAAATCTTCAGTTGGTACATTTAACTTCTAGTTCAAATGAAATATACTGCAATATTTACTGTGTTAGTACACAAACAAGTAATTTACGAGTTCCACAACAACTACTGTAAACTATACTATAGTAGTACACATCTAGAACAACTACAAGGTCCATGACCGGTACTGCAAACTACAGTATACTGCAATATTTGCTGCATTAGTACACAAACAGGACATCTACTGGAGGTTTTGATCTGAAAGGCTGAGAGATGTTTACTCTTAACATTTATTTTAGTTCAACAGTTGGTTGAACCCGTTTCGTGATGGTTTTGTTTGCAGGAGGTCCAGAGGAGACACGGTCTGACAAACTCCATCTCCTCAGCTCTCATCAAACCGGTTCAGAGGATCACCAAATACCAGCTGCTGCTCAAGGTAATACTACTCTAACGAAGGATAAAAGAGTATTGTTTGAGTATAAACGCTCAGATAAGCTTTTACCATTTCAGGTGTTTCTCAAACTAAAGTGTGCTGTTTCATGTTTCATATTATTATTTCTTTTACACAGACATTGTGCAGATCACTTCATTTTTGTTCTGTATTAATCATTATTTTGTGAAAAATGAAAATTTTCAGAAAAGATGAGATTTGTTGGGAATACTCAGAGTAATCGGTTTGTAATTATTTACTAAGAATATCTGCAGAAATAGCAATAAATCTCATAATGAAAAGGAAACAATGACATGAAACCAGTGAACTTTGTTTATATGTAAACATAAATATAAACTCTAATCAATATGTAACTACAATATTTCCTACAAATTGCTCTTTTTAATGATATAAGTATGTGTTAATGTATTTATTAATTATTTTATTTCACTTTTTCTTTTCACTGATGGATTAAAAATGTTTTTTATTATGCTTTTGCCTTTGCAATGTTGACAATACTAATAAAAAGCATAAAAATACTTATAGTAGTATATAATAGCATTTAATATGTTTCATACAGAAATACAATCCATGGAAGAACGCTGTCACCGTATTAACATATTTGTATCAAATATAAAAATGATCCCACATGTTGTCTTTGTGAATAAAAAGAGTTGTATTAATATTATTAAGTACATTGGTGTTAATTAGTTTGTTGTGTGTTTACAGGAGTTGTTGGCGTGCTGCGAGGAGGGAAAAGGCGAGATCAAAGAAGGCCTGGACGTGATGCTGAGCGTCCCGAAGAGAGCCAACGATGCTATGCATGTTAGCATGCTGGAAGGTAACGCACAGATGATAAGGTCTTTTATTGTTAAGGAGATGGGGGGAGGGGGCTTTTATTTTGAAGGAGCTGGAAGTCTATGAAGCTTTTGTTGTGTTTTTCTATTGCTATGGACATTTGTACTTCTTAAACAAACTTTAGGGACTTCTTAGAGCTTGAAAAACATAAATCCTACCTCTTGATATTTCCGATGATCTCACCTGCTGTGATGTCCCGGTCAGGTCTGGAGGAGGGTCTGGAGGTGCAGGGTGAGCTCCTCCTCCAGGACTCCTTCCTGGTGTGGGAGCCCAAGTCTCTGATCAGGAAGGGGCGGGACCGGCACCTCTTCCTGTTCGAGCTGTCACTCATCTTCAGCAAGGAGATCAAGGACTCGTCCGGACGAACCAAATATCTGTACAAGAGCAGACTGAGGGTAAAACATACCAACACATTCAACAAGTGTCTACATTTTAGAGTCTATAGTTAACATTTATGGTTTCTATGAGGACATTTATGGAGGATATCAAGAGAATGAGGCAGTGTTCTCACTACTTAAACTTAGTGAACACAAAGAGAACTAAATAGTGTGATCATGGTTTATGGGGTCACACTTGCTTTGTGTCCACTTAGCTGGTTTGTAGACTGGCAGAATGTCCTCACAATCAGGTTAAACCAACACACAGATTTGACAATCTTTACCTGTGGCTGTCTCACGCTCTCCACCTGTGGCTCTCTCAGACCTCAGAGCTCGGGGTAACGGAGCACATCGAGGGGGATCCCTGTAAGTTCGCTCTGTGGGTCGGACGAACGCCGACGTCCGACAACAAGACGGTCCTGAAGGTTCGTGCCGATCCGACGACATTTTCAAAAAGTTGTTTAGACAATATATTTTAAAGGCGTGGTCTACCCGTCGTACGTGTTCCTCCACAGGCGTCGTCGCTGGAGCTGAAGCAGGAGTGGGTCCGCAGCATTCGACAGGTGATCCAGGAGAGGCGTGGCCACCTGCGGGGTGCTCTGAGGGAGCCCATCCCCCTCCCCAAAACACCAAACCCCACCCTGGGGCGACAGCGCAGCATCAGTCGCAGGTCAGAAAGACAGGAAACACCTCCATGTTAGAGGCCTCCTGTCATGTGATCCGTCAGTAAAACGGACCTCTGGTTTTCAAAAGCCAGAAACCAAACTCGCACTTTATACGACCAGCCTGATTTATTCACACCTTTAGTTATTTCTGCTAAATTGGGCATAAAAATAATCAGCCATATTATATAACAGACTCTAAATCACTCACAGAAAACATGTCTGTCCGTCCGTCTCTTGTCAGGGAGACCAGCGAGGACGCAGACAGTCTGGGCGATGCCAGCAGTCAGCCAGACACCGTCTCCATCGCCTCCAGAACGTCACAAAACACCGCCGACAGCGACAAGGTAACACACACACACACACACACACACACACACACACACACACACACACTCCAGAGGGGCGTGTCACAGTCTGATGACATCACCGCTGCTGCAGCTGGTCCGGGTGTGTTTCTTCCTCTCTTCAGTCGTCAGATAGTTTTCTAGGAAACTCTCACTTCTCTTTCTGCTCTTCCTCACGAGGTACGTTTGATTTGTTCTACCTGCCGTTAAGTGGAGCTGAGGGTGGGGTTTAGCGCCTACGCCCCCCGGACACGCTGGCTGTGAGCCGTTTGATAGTTTATAGAAGCTTGTTTGAAGTAAACTACACATGAACTCACTAATGCATGAAATTAAAATCGATCAAAAGTATAATTAAAAATGTCTAATATATTATGATTTATTATATTTAGGGTTGCAACTAATTATTACTTTCATTATCGATTCATCTGCAGATTATTTTCTTGATTAGTCGTCCGTCAGAAAATAGTGATAAACTATTTTTAAACGTCTTTTTTTGTCAGATGTGTTTAATTTGAACTAAATCAGAGAAAAGCAGCAAATCTCGGACATTTTTACATGAAAAATTACTAAAATGATTAATTAATTTAGAAAATACTTGATCGACTAATTGAGTAACTGACTCGTAATGATATTGGATTAATATAAACCGATGTGTTAATGTTTAAATACCATTTAAATCTGAATTATATGAAGGTTGCACATGGATCATATTCATTCTAAACTAAATATGAATTCATGAACGTAACTCAGTACATTTACTCAAGTGCTCTTCTGAAGTACAATTTTGCTGTATTTTTAATTGGATACTTTTTACTGCACTACATTCATCTGATACCAGATAAAAACACATGTGAATGCAGTACTGTACTACCACTCTACCCAGTAGTACTACCACTCTACCCAGTAGTACACAAAGTATCTCATATCGTCTCCACATTAACAAACTACAACATGAAAATATTCTTATGTCTTTGTTACAGAATACTTCTAGTAATAATACCTCTGTACTTGTACTTCAACATTTTGAGCTCAGGATTTGTACTTGTAGTACTTTTCCTTTACTAAAGCAGTAGAAGTATAAATAGAAATACTCGTGTTTAGTGCTTCAGTAGATGTTCGTGTGTTTGTATCGTCTGTGTGCTTCACCTCACATCTGCATTTGATTCTGGACGGGGAACACCCCGGTGCTCCCAGTAGACACCGAGGGTGTGTGTGTTTTCTACACCAGCTGGAAGACATGTGCTCCGTCAACACACACACACACGTGTCACATGATGTGCTGTAGCTCGCTGTGATTGCACGGGTGGAGAACATACATTCGGTTGATTCACGGGTCATGTTTTTGTCTTTATTCTTCAATCTGCTGCAGAAAGACTTGAATCATAATGAATGATGTCATCACTGCAGTACATTGCTATAGCAGTGATGCTACATGTGTAATGATACTAAACATACGTTACTCTGCCTGTCTGTCTCTCCAGCTGTCGGGAGGCTGCGAGTTAGTGGTGGTGTTGTTGGACTTCTCCTCCGGGGGACCCGGGGAGCTCGGCGTCCGCTGTGGTCAGACGGTGGAGCTGGTGGAGCGCTCGGCCGAAAGGCCCGGGTGGTGTCTGGTCAGAACGACAGATCAAACGCCCCCGCAGGTAACCAATCAAACGCTCCGGAAATGTGATGAAGCAGGTTATAAATGTAACAACATAACAAACTAAATGTCCCATAAAATAAAGTCACATTTGTAAGTAAACCTTTGCAACGTCTTTGTGCCGTTTCCTGCAGGAGGGTCTACTGCCGATGAGCGCCCTCTGTCTGTCACACTCCCACAGTGCAGCCGACATGGAGGGGCTCATCCCGGCTTCCACCACCTCCTCCTCCAGCACCTCCTCTACGAGCACCACCACCTCCTCCTCCTTCAACTCCTCCTCCACCACCACCTCCTCCTCTACTACTGCCTCCAACTCCTCGTCCAATGCAGGGAGGGGTGAGTACATGGATTTACTTCGCCCTATGTCACTTCCTGTTTGAACAGAGGGAACTCTAAACATCCTCACGGTGTTGAGACGTCTCACATCCTGTCTCTCTCTGTCTCTCTCTCCTCTAAATATTTAAATCCCTGCTTGTGAATTTGTGTTGCTGTTTGTTCTGCAGCTCAGCATGAAAAATTAAAACACATTTAGTTTGTTTGTTAGGATCTGCCGCTTCGCATTAGCATCATAACCGTGTGTCTTAAAGAGACAGTACAGACATTTTTATAACGCAGACGTTTTCACAGCTTAGTTATTGAGACACTTAAATGGAAAAGAGACGCGTTTCTACTTTTACATGTGCAAATGTAACGTGCCAACTGTCCACGAGTCACAAAGACAAACTAAATGTCCCCACAAATCACAAAGATAAACTAAATGTCCCCACAGTTAGCACAGAGAACCTGAGGTTATTCATGACAAAATAGAAATGTGTTCAGCCCCAACATGAAACAAAGTGATATTCATCCATCTGTAATTAATATCTTTCATTGTCATTCATCATTGTTTAGTTTGTTAAAGATCCTACACAAACAGAAACGCCTCTCTGTCCTCCCAACAAGGAGATAAAAAGACTGTTCTGTAGTTTCAGGGTTAAAACTGAACCACATGAAAGAAAATCTGTAATCTGGTTTGACAAGATGTCTCATTCTCACAGAGACAGACAGACAAGAGGTGAGACAGTTAAACATTGACCTGAAGGAGGTTCAGACTCAACAGGAACATCCTGACTCAGTGTGTGTGTGTGTGTGTGTGTGTGTGTGTGTGTGTGGGGCTACCTGCTGTGTCACAAAACAATGAGGAGCTGCAGTTTAAAAATAAAGTCGTCTCTCTTGTTAATTTAGATTAATTTAGTTTTATTCCACTTCATGGTTTATTATTACATTTATTTATTTACAATATAACATTTCAGAATTATTGTTTCATTTTATTTAAATGTAGCTTGTTTTTTATAACACTTTCTTTCTTTTGTATAAGCTTTAATTGGTTTGTTTTAAAAATGTATGTTTTTATATATATGTAATTACTAATTTTTTAACTATTATATTTTGATTTTCCTATCTCATTTTATGACCTAATTCAATAATTTGTTTAGATTTGTTAATTTTAATGTTTTTTATGTTTGTCCATTAGATTTATTTTTATTCACACTTCCTTGTTTTATTTTATATTTTATTTATTCATTTTTTGAAATACTCATTTAATTTGATTTGATTTCATCTATACTTTGTACTTTTCTTCATATTCGAATGTTTTTCTTTGTAAATCCCCGCCTTCCTCTAACCCCGCCCCCATGGCTAAGCCCCGCCCCTCCAGAGCTCTGACTGTAGTTTCGTTCAGCTCTGTGGAGAGAGAGAGACAGAAACACCTCTCTGTCTGTCTCTCCTTTATTTTTAAACATTTATTTTTCCGAATGGATCGATGCTGAAGCATGCGGCGGGGCACAGGTGCATGCTGGGATTGTTCCGCTGTTTTGGGATGGATTGTGGGAAAGGGAGAGGACGACCGAGGTGCGTTTATAATGTGAGAGAGAGAGAGAGAAAACAAGAGTGTGTGTCAATGAGTGACAGAACAAGGTGATCTGTCTGTCTGTCTGTCTGTCTCTCAGTCTGTCTGTCAGTCTCTCAGTCTGTCTGTCTGTCTCTCAGTCTGTCTGTCAGTTTCTCAGTCTGTCTGTCTGTCTGTCTGTCTCTCAGTCTGTCTGTCAGTCTCTCAGTCTGTCTGTCTGTCTCTCAGTCTGTCTGTCAGTCCGTCTGTCTCTCAGTCTGTCTCTCAGTCTCTCTACCATCACACATTACCTAACAACCTGCAGTAGGAATGTTGTGTGTTCACGCGTTGAACAGGAGCTGCATGTTTTATTATCTCTGACTTTAACTAGCTCACCTGACTGAGTTCAGTCTGCAGGAGGTCCGACCTGAAACTGTCTCGCACGTCTCACATGTCTCACTCTCTGCTTCAATCATTTACTCTGTTACTTCACAGCGTAAAAATACAACTTATTCAAGTTCTATTGGAGTAAATATACATAAACCAGCAGAAAAGTACTTAAAGTATCAAATATAAAAGTACTCAAAAAGGTTTTCTTAGCGACACAAGATAAAATACTTGAATTATTCTATATATTTGTTGCTTCCTTCTCATGGTTATTTCTTTCTTGTTTGTTGGATGTATAAGTAACCTTAAAAACTTCATATGTGAATACATTAATCAATCAATAATTCTGTTTCCTCTCTTATTAATATTAGTAATAATATTAATATTAATATTTGTATTTGCTTTCTCTGCAGACTCCGGTCTCTACGGCTCTGATGGACTCCAGACGTCCGGCCAAAGTGAGACGACATCCCTGTCACTCACATTTACTGACTCTGCTGGCGTACAGTGAACTCACCGTCATCTTTTTGTTTCAGGTGCCGTCTGTCCCGCGGCGTTCGGAGTGGGCGGAGCTCCAGGGGGCGCCGTCGGCTCTCCGGGGCCAAAACGCAGCGGCTCTGGAACCGGAAACACCCTGAAGGTACACGACACGTAGTACTGTCATCAGACACAATACACAATACACGAGTATGAAAATACCTCATTATACATATATTATATGCAACAAAAAGGAAAGTCGGAGTACAGATTTTGTGTTTGTTGCAGCGCTGGTTGACGAGTCCCGTCCGGAGGCTGAGTCAGGGCAAAGCCGACGGACAGAAGAAACCTCCAATCAGAACCAGGAGGCGGGACAACAGGCCGGAGCTGGCCACGCCCCTCACTGGCAACGCACAGACGGTAAAATAAAAACATTTAAAAAAACATACAAAGAAACACAAGCGACGAACGGAAAGACAAATTTTTTTGTGTTTTGTATTTAAGCAGAAGGCGAGGAAGGAGGAGGCGGGGCAGAGCGGAGGGGAGGAGGAGCCAGAGGAGGAAAGCAACACCCTTTTACCTCCTCCCATGCAGATCATCAAAGACCCAAACAACCCCGAGGTTTCTATTCTTTTATTTCATTAAGATACAAAATACAGATCAACAGAATTCAAGTTTAAGACATTTTTAATATTTCTCTAATTGTTGTATTTTTACATTTCTCTAATTGTTGTGTATTTTATATATTTCTCTAATTGTTGTGTATTTTTTACATTTCTCTAATTGTTGTGTATTTTTAATATTTCTCTAATTGTTGTGTATTTTTAATATTTCTCTAATTGTGTATTTTTACATTTCTCTAATTGTTGTGTATTTTTAATATTTCTCTAATTGTTGTGTATTTTTAATATTTCTCTAATTGTTGTGTATTTTTACATTTCTCTAATTGTTGTGTATTTTTACATTTCTCTAATTGTTGTGTATTTTTTATATTTCTCTAATTGTTGTGTATTTTTTACATTTCTCTAATTGTTGTGTATTTTTTATATTTCTCTAATTGTTGTGTATTTTTACATTTCTCTAATTGTTGTGTATTTTTACATTTCTCTAATTGTTGTGTATTTTTTATATTTCTCTAATTGTTGTGTATTTTTTACATTTCTCTAATTGTTGTGTATTTTTTATATTTCTCTAATTGTTGTGTATTTTTACATTTCTCTAATTGTTGTGTATTTTTACATTTCTCTAATTGTTGTGTATTTTTACATTTCTCTAATTGTTGTGTATTTTTTACATTTCTCTAATTGTTGTGTATTTTTTACATTTCTCTAATTGTTGTGTATTTTTTATATTTCTCTAATTGTTGTATTTTTATATTTCTCTAATTGTTGTGTATTTTTTATGTCTCTAATTGTTGTGTATTTTTTATATTTCTCTAATTGTTGTATTTTTATATTTCTGTACTTGTTGTATTTTTAATATGTCTCTAATTGTTATTTTTAATTTTCTAATTGTTGTATTTTTAATATTTCTAATTGTTGTGTATTTTTAATATTTATCTAATTGTTGTGTATTTTTAACATTTCTCTAATTGTTGTATTTTTACATTTCTCTAATTGTTGTATGTTTTATATTTCTCCAATTGTATTTTTAATATTTTTCTAATTGTTGTATTTTATATATTTCTCTAATTGTTGTATTTTATATATTTCTCTAATTGTTGTATTTTATATATTTCTCTAATTGTTGTATTTTTTATATTTCTCTAATTGTTGTATTTTTTATATTTCTCTAATTGTTGTATTTTTTATATTTCTCTAACTGTTGTGTATTTCTTATATTTCGTTCTCCAGGCTCTGGATTCAGATCAGGGCTCCAACGAGTCGGACACGGAGCAGAGGAACAAAGCTCTGAGAGGACGAATGTGAGACAAACATAATAAAATAATAAATGTGTGAAAATCAAAAAGAAAAAGATTTGAAACGTCTGTTTTTCAGGTTTGTGGTGAACGAGATGATCCAATCAGAGAAGGACTACGTGAAGGACCTGGCTGTGATCGTTGAGGTGAGACATTTATAGTTTATATACAATGATTATAAATGATCCATACGTTATATATCATATGTAAATATTGTGTTTGTGTCTCAGGGCTTCATGTCCCGGCTGGAGGTCCGAGGAATCCCAGAGGACATGAGAGGAAAAGACAAGATCGTCTTTGGAAACATCCAGCAGATCTATGACTGGCACCGCGAGTCCGTTACACATTATTATTAACATTAATAATGATATTATTGATGATAGAAGTCTCTCTGACTCACTGTGTGTGTGTGTGTTCAGTTTCTTCCTCGTGGAGTTGGACCGATGTGTTCAGAATCACGACCTGCTGGCCGACCTCTTCATCCGACACGTGAGTTTTACCAAAATAAAGTTATTAGCAGTGCTGGGCAAGTTAACACGTTAATTTCGTGTTAACGCATTCATTAATTAACGCCGACAATTATTTTATCGCGCGTTAACGCATTTTTAAAATTTATTATAATTTTTTTTTTTTTAACAAGCCAGCAAACATCCTATAGTCAGTTGTGTATGTATATGTGTGTGTGTGAACGTGTGTGTGTGTCCTTGAGCCTTTTGAGATGGGAAAAAAAATTATAATAATAATAATAATAAAAAAACAGGTAAGTATTTTTAATTTATTATTATTGTAACAGACAACAGACTCATGTTTATCGTTTTGTATTGGAGATATGATGTCCCTTCAGGGTTGCCGTAGAGAAAAGGCGACTTCCGCTTCTGGGGGGGGGGGGCAGAAATAAAGAGAGAAGCTGCACCAGCTGTTGCTCTCCCTGGAGACTACTGGACATCGCTGCGGTAAAGTCAGCAGACACTCAGATCTCCGTGGTCAACTCAGCAGACACTTACATGTTAGTGCACCTATATGCTGACATTCACGGTAAACGCATTCAAACGGCGCAGATCGGGAGCGAGCGAAGGACTTTGAAAGTTAGCGGAAAGATTAACGTGAGACAACATCGGGTTTCTTCAGACGAACATCCGGTTTTCAGAATAAGATGCCAACAAAGTATGAATTATATTCACATTAAGTATAAAACATGCTACCTGCATGAACCAAATGTTATTGCCCTTTTGTTCATATAGCAGTACTTTTAAAATAAAAGTGCGCAATACACTACTTTTGAATTCATTATTTAACTTTGCCATAACAATGTGATTAATCGCGATTAATCGCAAAAAATCCATGCGATTAATTGCGATTAAATATTTGAATCGTTGCCCAGCACTAGTTATTAGTAATCATTTTAATTTCACTTAATTTTTGTCTTTTATACCTCTAAACATTTATCTCAAACTTTCTCTTTTCATCTGGTTTAAAAGATCTGCAGTAGAGAGTAAACCTGTGCTCGATATTAAATATATATATATATATGTTTATATATATATATATTTAATATGTTTTTTAATTCATAAATTGTAGATACTTTGTAAAGTACTGTGTGGATTGAACTAAAGATAAAAGTACAATATTTACTAGATGTAGTGGAGTAGAAGTAGTATAACTGCCCGCTGGTCAACACTAACACAAGTTAAAGTGTTGGTCTATAAATACACACTAAAGCGTGTTCATAATGTAAGCATGTGTGTGTGTGTGTGTGCTGCAGGAGCGTCGCCTCCACATGTACGTGGTTTACTGTCAGAACAAGCCGAGGTCAGAGTTCATCGTCATCGAGTACGACAGCTTCTTCGAGGTAAACAGAATTTATTTGTACTTCAAGTTTCAGACATTTTAAGAGCTGAAGTCTGCAGCTTCTCCCAACGGCTGATCTGTAGTGGAGTCTGGTGCAGAGGAGCAGCAGCAGAACCGATGGGTTCTCAGATGAAACAATTGTTCTGCAACACAAACGACAGACGAATGAACCTGTCTGTCTGTCTGTCTGTCTGCAGGACATCCAGCACGAGATCAGCTGCAGGATGTCGATCAGTGATTATCTGATCAAACCCATCCAGAGAATCACCAAATACCAGCTGCTGCTGAAGGTCTGTGAGCGTCTACTGACGTTATGTAGATACTGTGTATATATACAGTATATATATACATATTTATATAATACTCTTCAAATCACTTGTCTGTCTGTCTTTCAGGATTTTCTCAAGTATACGTCCAAAGCAGGACTGGACTGTGAAGAGATCGAGGTAAATCCTTCTGTTTCTATATTTAAATAAATATAAACCACATAAGAACCCTTTGCCCTACTTGTTGTACACATTTAAAGTTTTAGTACACTACTTGTTGTACACATTTAAAGTTTTAGTACACTACTTGTTAACATTTACTTTTTTTGAGAGTGGGATTATTATTATTGTTCAGTGAACCAGAATAAGTGGAAGAATGTGGTTTTGTCAAAATGATGGTGGCGTTAAAAGATGTACGCAGGACGGTGAATCATTCAACTTTGGTAATATTAAAGTGTGTGTGTGTGTGTGTGTGTGTGTGTGTGTGTGCAGAAAGCGGTGGAGCTGATGTCATTGGTGCCGAAGCGCTGCAACGACATGATGAACCTGGGACGCCTGCAGGGATACGAGGTAGAACAAACCACGAGCAACGAGCCTCAAACCATGATAAAGTTAAAGAAGGAAACAAACGGAAAGATGTGTGTCTGTTAGTTCATTTAAGATATAAGTTCAGATATCAACTACAATGATCAATACATTCAATAACAAATGTTCTCACATTGAATTAGCAACAAGAGAGCTACAGACTACACTAAAGTTACACTATTCACAAGACAAATACTGTCAACTCAGCAAATATTAGCTAAAATATTACTTTATGCTTTACATTTATATATTGTGATAATATGTCAGAGGCTTGTTTTTTTCCCCCCCAAGTGGCCAAAAAAAACTATTAACGCAGTTTTAACCAAAATGGAACTACAAAGGACCCATAATAGAACCCCGAGGAACCCCACAGTTCATTATTATCAGGGTTAAATGTTGCTCTTAGTCTATTGGATGTGCCGGCAGGCAGCTGTTTGCTAGCATGTTAGCCACAACTACATAATGAGGTGAAGGTTATTTATTTATGTTGGAGTTTTACATCTTGTTCTGCTGCCTCAAAGTGGCCGAAAAACAAATAATGAAGGACCCAGAATAGAACCCTGAGGAACCCCAAAAGTAAAACCCTGAGGACTCTGACCGTTATCCTTGTCGTCCAGGGGAAGCTGACGTCTCAGGGGAAGCTGCTGCAGCAGGAGACCTTCTGTGTTTGGGAGCAGGACGGAGGAGTTCTGTCTCGCAGTAAAGAGCGCAGAGTTTTCCTGTTCGAGCAGATAGTTATTTTCAGCGAACTGCTGCGCAAAGGCTCCAACAACCCGGGGTACCAGTTCAAAAACAGCATCAAGGTGGGACTGAAGGCTTTATATCGGCTCAAGACATGTGTGTGTTCTGACTGGTTCACACTGGGAATGATGGGAGTCATTCTGTTTGTGTGTGTGGTCAGGTGAGTTACCTGGCGATGCAGGACAGCGTGGACGGGGAACCCTGTAAGTTCGTGTTGTGGTCTCGGGGTTCGGAAGAGCGCTTCACGCTGCAGGCGTCCTCCACCAGCATCAAAACCACCTGGGTGGAGACCATCGCCACCCTGCTGGATGCACAGAACAACTTCCTGTCAGGTGAGTACATCCACGTTGCATCATTGGACCTGGCTGAATTATTCCTCGAGTCTCCCCGAAACAGTCTTGGATGTCTTTGAATCCGCTTCATCTTGAAGCTCATTGATTAGGATTTGATCTGGTTTATTTGAACCTGAATCAGTTTGAACTCCCAACAGCTCTTCAGTCTCCCATTGAGTACCAGAGGAAGGAGGGCGGGATCTCGGTGACCCGGCCTTTGTCGTCAGGGCGACCGCCGTCGGCCCCGCCCACGCCCAACGGCCACGCCCCTCAGCCTCCTCCTGACAGCGAGCAGGACGACCAGGTTTGGACTCACCCTTCTTGTCGTACCTTCTCGTACTTGATTTCTTAACTTCAGATTATTGCTAAATGTGAACATTGACAACCCTTAGGAGCTGGTACTGGTGCTGCAGGACTTTGTGGCGGTTCGGGAGGACGAGATCTCCGTGTTTCGGGGCGAGAAGGTTCAGATTCTGGCGTCCAACCAGCAGGGTCAGAGTCTGGTGTACCGGCCGGCCAACAGTGACTCGCCGGCCGCCGAGGGCTGGGTGGCACGCAGCGTTCTCAACACACACTGACACATACAAATATACGCAACAATACACTGACAGCAGAGTCCGGTTTACTACGAGTACACACGTAAAATACTGCAAGGTAGCAGGGCCAGAGGCATGCTGGGAAGTTCTTTTATGACGGTGAGAGGTGTAGCCTTAAGGTGGAGATGTCCAATACAACCTAAAATATCGAAACAACTCCAGATGTTTTCTGTAGCACCACCATCCTGGATACGCTGTCGATGATTTGAACAGTTATTTTCTCGGCGTTGTCGATGATTTTAACTGTTATTTTCTCGGCGTTGTCGATGATTTGAACAGTTATTTTCTCGCCGTTGTCGATGATTTGAACTGTTATTTTCTCGCCGTTGTCGATGATTTGAACAGTTATTTTCTCGGCGCTGTCGATGATTTGAACAGTTATTTTCTCGCCGTTGTCGATGATTTGAACTGTTATTTTCTCGGCGTTGTCGATGATTTGAACTGTTATTTTCTCGGCGTTGTCGATGATTTCAACAGTTATTTTCTCGCCGTTGTCGATGATTTCAACAGTTATTTTCTCGCCGTTGTCGATGATTTCAACAGTTATTTTCTCGCCGTTGTCGATGATTTCAACAGTTATTTTCTCGGCGCTGTCGATGATTTGAACAGTTATTTTCTCGGCGCTGTCGATGATTTGAACAGTTATCTTCTCGGCGTTGTCGATGATTTTAACTGTTATTTTCTCGCCGTTGTCGATGATTTGAACAGTTATTTTCTCGCCGTTGTCGATGATTTGAACAGTTATTTTCTCGGCGTTGTCGATGATTTGAACAGTTATTTTCTCGCCGTTGTCGATGATTTGAACAGTTATTTTCTCGGCGTTGTCGATGATTTGAACTGTTATTTTCTCGGCGTTGTCGATGATTTGAACTGTTATTTTCTCGGCGTTGTCGATGATTTGAACTGTTATTTTCTCGCCGTTGTCGATGATTTGAACTGTTATTTTCTCGCCGTTGTCGATGATTTGAACTGTTATTTTCTCGCCGTTGTCGATGATTTGAACTGTTATTTTCTCGGCGTTGTCGATGATTTCAACAGTTATTTTCTCGGCGTTGTCGATGATTTCAACAGTTATTTTCTCGGCGTTGTCGATGATTTCAACAGTTATTTTCTCGCTGCTGTCAATTTGAACAGGGTTCGGGCTAAAGCTATCCAGCGTTTCAGAGACAGAACATAACTTTCTACCCTGCGACCCCTTGGAGGGTCTCGACCCTTATGTTGGAACAGATGTCTCCGTCCTCCAGGCTCCACAGTCATAAACTGAGAGATGATGAATGTTTTCTGACACACTTTAAACCCTGATTACCTGCCAGTATTAGAAAGTCCCAGCAGCAGGTACCGTTAGTGTCCTCCCTCCTGGTGCCTCAACGTTCAACCAAAAACACGCCTCCAGTCCTCGCCTCGTCCAATCAGACGTAGCCGTCCAGTTTACTGCCCCCCCCCGAGCAATGATGACGTCACAGACTGTCTCCTGCGTGATGTCAGCGGGAGGGAGGCCACATGACCACATCGTCATCACCGACGACAACAAACTGTGATTCCAGGAAGCTGAAACGAGAGACAATTAAAAAAAAAAAAGTAAAATAATAATAAAAAGCCTCCTGGAAGAGAAGAGGTGGAAAAGACCCGTCAGCCAATCAGAACGGCCCTCTCTCTCTCTGCGTGTCATCCTGTTAATAGTGTGTATAAACAGACTGAGGACACACACACACACACACTCACACACACTGCACACAAACACCCCACTGCTAAGATGATGACGATGAAGAAGATTTAACTCTGATGATTATGATACTTAAGAATATTAGAAACTGTTTTTCACCTCAACTAGAAAAAAAAGAGAAACTGTTTTGTCATATTGTTTGTATGTGTGTGTGTGTGTGTGAGAGAGAGAGAGAATGTGTGTGTGTGTTATTGACGACGTCCCGTGTGTGTTTTTCCACGGACAGTTAGGTGGTGTCCCGGTGTAGCGTTGCCATGACGACTCGTTGTTTGCGGTGACACCAGTTTTTTTGTCTTTTTAGCGAACCAGAGCTGCCGCCGGCCCTTCCTCCTTGCCTTCCCTTCCTCCTTTCCTTCCCTTCCTCCTTTCCTTCCTCCCTTCCTCCTCCTCTTGTACATGCAGCTCTGGTTAGTTTGGATATTATGCATTTCTTGTTCCTGTAAATAGACCAGACCTCCAACTGCTACTCCACTAACTCTGGACACTGAAAACTCTCTCTACCTGTCTCTCTCTCTCTCTCTACCTGTCTCTCTCTTTCTCTCTACCTGTCTCTCTCTCTCTCTGTTTCTCTGGTGCCATTCTCAGACAACACCCCGGTCCTTAAGGAGCTACGCAGCCCCGTCACGTGCACTACAGAGGGCTTAAGGTGGGAAGTAGTGCACTATGAAGGGTGTAGGGAGCGACATAGGAAACTATAAAAGGAGTTTAAGGTGGAACGCTGCCTTAAAATGCAGCTCAGCAGGTTGTAATTTTGAGAACCGAGTTGCGTTAAAGAGCAACACACACCGGTTATTGTGTGTCTCAGCAGGTTAAAATGTTTGTTTACGGAGCTCAGCAGCTGGTCGGGTGTTGTGGTGATATTGTTTATTGTATTAAGTTTATTCTCAGAGACGAGAAGAATTTTCATGCACTGTTACAGCATTAAAATCCTCTTTCATTATTCAAACTATTACTTGTAAAACATGTAAAGTTATGAAAGAAAAAAGGACGAAAACACAAAACGTGTGGGCAACACAGTCAAATTCAATGTATTCACACGCTGAAAGAAATGTCCTGAGTTTAGCCTGCTGAGGGTGCTGCTCTTAAATGCACTTTAACGCCGCATTCATGTCCCTCAAGTCTGTTGTTCAAAGTATTGAAATACTTATTCACAGTATTTATATCCCGTCTTAATGACGCGAACGCTCTGCAACTCGTCTTTCCCTTCACACGTTAACGCGGCGTTAATGAGGTGAAGGACATTTTTAAAAATGGACGCTACCTTTGTTTCCTTTTCCAGGAATGTTAATGTCAACAACAACAAAGAGTAGAAAACAAAGAAACGTATCGTCTGTGGGGTCCAATGTCTTCAACAAAATGTCACAACTAGAGAACATGGAGTGCACCAGAAAGGTTTTAGGATGGATGGTAGTGCACTACAAAGATGGTGTAAAGAGGAAAGAAGTGCATTATGAAGAGTTTAGGAAACAATATAGTGCACCATGCAGATTTTAGGATGGATGGTAGTGCACTCTAAAGAATATAGGGTGCACTAAAGAAGAAGGACGGTAGTGCACTAAGCAGGGTTTAAGGAGGGAAATAGCACACTATGAAGGGGCCTAATGGGGAGGTAGTGCACTACGGAGGATGTAGCGTGCACCACAAGAGGTTTTAGGGGTAAAGTAGTGCACTACAGAGGGCGTAGGGTGCTGTTTGAGACCTAGCCTTGTTGCCGATCGGCAAACTCAACTCACCAATCAAACAGTGTTATTTGTACAGAACTAACAGCTGCTAACTGACCGCTAACAGCTCTCTGTCGTTGTTTGTAATAAACTTCATTTTTCATCCAAAAACCAATCTGTACGTGGTGTTTAATTCTTTGTGAATCCATAAATCTACATATTATTATTATTGATTATATAGCTACAGATGTAGATCAGTGTTAGATAGGTTGATGATTTAAGGAATACCTGATTATAGCTTATCAATACTCTTGTAATAGACATAGCTCCGTATGTTATACTCTTCCTTAAGAAATAAAATAAGGTTAAAAAACATGAAGAATTCATGTAGTTTAGACAGAAAGAAATGTAATTTGTGTCCATTTAGTCTGCTGTTATTATATATATATATATATATATAAAATATATATTATATCACAGCATGACTTTGTAATTTTAGATGTATTTTGTGAAATGTAATGTTTGATAGATTATTCATTGAAAAGTTCTGAATCAGTCGATATGCTGATGATGTTCTTCTCTCCGTCAATAATAACCAAAAAGTATATTTACATGTCAAACAGTTTGTGTCATATGACAGAATCCTGTTGAACTGGATGTAGAGTGAGTCTGGAGTCCATCGGAGTCCATCAGAGCCATAGAGACCGTTCTCGGCTGCTTTTATTGTGAAACTCTTGAAACAGGAACCTGTTCCTGTTTAAATCAAAGCATCCAGTTTCTTTGACCAATGACGCGGATTTCTTCTCTTTTTATTCAGCAGTTGCTCAGAGGATCTTTGTCTCTTTCAGTTTGATAATCTTGAACCACTAAACATTGTTTTGTTCTCAGTCTACTAAACAAAATAACACCCATAAGTAAAAAGACTTTCTACAAAATAAAAGCATCAGACACATTTGTCCTCTCACACAATCGCGTCTTTTCTTTGGTTCAGGAGTTTCTACAATATGTAGGTTGCAGCAACGACAATGTTCTTGTGTCTATAGAACATGTCATCAGTTTGTAGTATTATCATGTGTCATTTATATGATGTCATAACGCTGACTCGACGTTGAGAGCGAGACGTGAACTCCGCTCTTGGAATTCAAAGTCTTTTTCCTGAACTTTACTTCTTCCTCCTAAAAGCATCACAGCTATTATTATTTCTAGGTTGAGTTATTCGTCGGCGTGGACCATCACAGAGCAGTTAACTCCTGATAAGAGCGGCTGTAAAGCAGGAAACAGATCAAACCAATTACACAGCAGGAGATAAAGTGGACTGAAGTTCAGACTTTATCTTCACACTCTCATGCAGCCAAATCAAATCAACAAAGAAATACACAAGTTCATTTAAAAGAAGATTTCATCTTTATCCAAACTTTAACCCCAGAAAAGAACCAAACTATGAGAAAAGTAGGCTTTCTTTTTCTTATTTGATAAAACATATAAATAACATTTATCATACAGAATGTAATAAAAGAGGCTTTAGAAGAATATGAATGAATAGAAGTTAATGGATGTGATAATTAGAGCAGCAACAACTAGTAATCAACTAAAAATAAGATCCACATAATCTAATAAAATAATAATACAAACATTCTTTCGGATCAGCTGCTTTTCATTGTCATACATGCTTGTAAGCTGTATTTTGGGGGTGATGGACTGTTGAACAGACTTTATTTTATAGACAAAATAGTTAATTTAAAAAAAAGTTATAAGATAGTTGCAGCTGTATTGAGAATATTTTGATAGACAGTAATTTAAATCAGATTTAAAATGTAAATAAATGGGTTTAAAGTAAATATTGTAGTGGACTTCATAAATGTTAAAAATGTACTGTTCTATAGATACATATATATAGTTGATGACGGACTGGATTCAGATGGGCGATAGTGGGATCAGATGTCAGAACAACCGGCTCGTTATCGTCCGTTCACAGATAATCAGTCGGTTCAAAGATTCTTCCGGCAGCACCTTTTTGTGTCAACATGTTCCCTTTCAAATTAAAAGCACAAGCAGGTAATGAATCGATGTAGATTCGCAGTAAAACACAGCGTCTGAACTGAAGCTTAACGCTGTTTAAAATGAGACAAAGATAAAACGAGAGAGAAACGTTAGCAGTATGTTTGTTTCTTTATGAGCTTTGTAGTCTTAATAAATCTCAGTCCATGTTGTTTTAATCATGTGGCGCTTTAAGTAGGTCACAGGTTGTCAGACCCCCCCCCCCCCCCCCC